ATGCAAGCCTGCATCAGTGAATTATTAGTAAATAGTGCATCAAGATTCTGCCCATTTTTCATAATTTTGTACAGTTTTGCTGCCTTCCTATAATGCAATACATCAAAAGGGATTATTCTGCTGCATAGTCTTCTTGTCTCCTCCACCCTGTTCTTTCTATTGCTGTTAGCCTCGCAAAACTTATTTTCTTGATTAAGTATAATTAGCAAATTGGCTGATTTTTATGTATGACATTTCATGCATATGAAATAGAGTATACTCCATTTTCCCAATTGTTCGCCCTCTCAAACATTGTTGGATGTGTCATTCATTGTTACCGAAGGTTGTTTTCCGTAGCGCCACATCAATTTATAACTAAAACACAGAGGGACAAATTTGCAGAGGAGGCTATAGATTTATACAATTTGTTCAGCTCTACATGAACTGAAACCTGTTTCTTACCTGTTTAATTTTAATGGTGGCAAAGAATTCTATGAATCGTAGTTCTGTGAAGAGAAAAATGGGTAAAATCCTAAACACACTTAGGGCCTTTACAGACTGCCAGAAATAATGCAGCTTGAGGCCACTTTAATTGTCTTGGCTCAGTGCTAGGGAATGATGGGAATTATATTTTTTTCTGGGACATTGAGCCTTCTCTGTCAGAGAGCTCTGGTGCCACAATTAACTACAGTTCCCATGATTCCTTAGCACTGAGGACAGTTAAAGTAGTCTCAAACTGGATTATTTCTGGCAGTCTGTAAAGGCCCATAAATGGGGAAGAAATTCCACTGAATTTAGTGAGATTTATTTCTGAGAAAGCACACTGAGGTTTATTCGGCATATTCCTTGCATGCTTAAGTTTGCTCTCTCTGCAATGGTTTGTTGGGGCTCTCTGCAGGAACACATGCAACACACACAATGAGTACACACATTTACTTTTTGGTTTTGTGTATGCCAAAGAACTTGTAGACCCATTTCCTGAAAGCCAAGGGGCCTCTTTCTCTCTCACTCCCATACATTCTCCCCTATTCACTTTACCAACTATTCCATTTATATTGGGCAATTAATTGTAAAAAATGAAAAAAATGTGCAATAAATGTTTGATATCTTGGGTTTCTTTTATGGTGGCGATGGGGTGCATTTATCAATCAGCACTTATGTACAGCTTTGGCGACGCTTAACAGAAGGAAATATGCAAAGGCCATTTCGATTCTCTGTCCAAAAGATCTTGAAATGACAGCTGGGGTGGAAGAGGCAGTGTCACTTGTTCCTTAGAGTCCTCCTGACATTTAGTAGAAAACCCAAACTTTTTGTAGCCATTCCCATCTTGATGTTTGAGTTTCAAATGTCTGGGTAGAGCAGGCGGCACGAAATGCAAGCAACCCATGTTCATTTTTTGCACATTGGATAGGCAGCTTTGCAAGGTAGGGGTTTAAACATTTCCCCCTCCCTTCTTAATTCTCTCCTCCCTCTCTCTCTCTCTTTTTTTTTTCCAGCAAGAAGGATAAGCTTGGAGTGCCCAGTCACCCTGGTAACTGCCAGAAAAATTCTCCAGAAGTTTGAAGAGGTCAGCTAACAGGGTCAACAACTCTGGCCTCTTTCCGAGCTGGGGCAGGCGGGCCCCATCCTGCTGCCCATGTGCTCGCCAAGGCCTAACCCTGGGAGGGGGGGCATTCTTGCTCTGATATAAATTTTTTGAGTCAGTTCACGGCCTGGAATCTCCAGGTGGCCTCCAAAATCGATGGTGACCCCTTGACCCTGTCTAACGTCGGCATTGCATCCAACCTAAGGAAGGATTTAGGCAGGAATGACAGCTTTCCACTGAGTGTTATTGGGGACAGTACAAACAATTCGGGAAGCAAGGAGGTAGGTATGAGGAGAGCAGGTCATTAAAAGCATATTAAAAAACAATTGCAGGGTTTCGGGTGGGAGAAGGCAGAGGGAGATTCTGTGTTCCTTGATAGTTCTTTGATAGTTAGCATTTCTTATTTGAATTTTGTAAACCTCTGTAGAGGGCCATTTCCCTATACAGAAGGCTGAGGATTTATGACTTTGATTTTCATATTAAAAGAAATGATTCTGATGTTCAGTATAGAAAGTGAGGTTTTCATGATTCCTAAGCCAAATGAAAAATAATCTGCCCTCTTTGCTTCCAAATGTAAATATCAGGTAGGTAAATCCGACAGATGAATTCCAGTTTTCAAAATATAAGTATCATTTTCCTTCACTGTCTTGTTATATTGCCAGAATGATTAAACATGTATGTCTCTATATAATGTATGTTTGTCTGCATTAAAATGAATATACTGCCTTCCTGCCTTTACTTGTCTTTTGTTTGTAAAAAAAAAAAAAGATTCTTTACTCAAAGATGTAACTTCTGAGAATGTGCTTTTAAAGGTTTTTTAAAATAAATAAATAAATAAATAAATCAGAAAGTACAGTCCAGCCAATGTTAAGCACGTTTAAATCCCACTGCTTTTCCTGGGACTGACAAATTCATAACTTTGTTTGGACTGTGCCCAAATCAAACAGGTGCTTTTAAACATTAAGACAAGGAAATTACTTGGTATGCCAAAATAGACTGGAATGAAGGTGTACTGGTTTCACAGGGCTGCTTTGCAAAGTGAATAGTTAAGTACATATTTGATTCCATGGGACTGAGCAAGATTTTAGTATGGAGGAAATTTTAATCTGCATGAGATAACTAGTTATTCATAGGTTGGTTTGTTGCACGCACTTTAACCAATAGAGGCAACATAGAAGTAGTAACAGAGGTTAAAAAATCAAGACAACTCTGCATTCTCTAACAAGGTGGATTCATTTTGCAATTTCATTTCTAGCAATAGGCTCACATTCTATAACCGATATTAACAGAATCTTCATGTACAGAGTCTTTTACCATGAACAACAGAAGACATCCCAGACAGCAGGTTTGGGAGACCAATAAAAGCATCATCATTCGGAAGTTCTCTGGAAAGAGGATGGGCAAGAACATTACTGTGTATAGCAGCAGATTTAATCATAATGATAATCTGATTTACTCACTTTATCAGACTGTTCACAACATTTAGACAAAGACACATGTCTTGAATGCAAAAAACCTCCATGTTCTTCCCTTGGCAATGGTTCGCTATCTTTAGTGTTTGGTTATTTTTTTACTTCAACTCCCAGAAATCCTAGCAGCATGACTAATAGTCAGGGATTCTGGGAGATGAAGTTGAAAATATCTAAAGGGCCAGCACTTGAAACCCCTGGGATAAAGTATTTTTCTCCCACTAGATGCCCTCTAGATGCATTGGATTACAAGTTCCACCACCACTATCCTGCAGCACCATGCTGGAGGTGCTGGGAAGTATAGTCCAGCACATCTATTTATTTATTTAATATTCCACCTTTCTCCCAAATCTGACCCAAGGCAGCTCACAAAAGATGCTTAAAAACAACAACAACAATAACAACACTAAAACAAAATCTTATATTCTATTTTAATACTGTATTTATTCTTTTAAAGGGGGGTTGTTATATTGTTATTGTTATTATTGTTTTATTGTTTAATTTAAGTTATGTTTTATTTAATTATCTCTTATATTTGTAAGCTGCCTTGATTGCTCCTGCAAAAGGCGGGATATAAGAATAAAGTTATTAAAACTATATATTTAAAATACAATTAACACACCACATTAATATAACAGTCAAAATTGTACAATCCTTAAAAATACTTAGGGGCTAAACAGACGGCCCCAATTGCTGGTTCAGGGCCACGGCAACCGGACGCTGTGGCCCCAATCCGGTATTTTGCCACTCTAAAAAGAGCTGGCAAATGCTGCTCCTTTTTAGAGCGGCAAAAAGCCGGCCTTGCTACGGCAGTGGCTTTTTGGTGCTCCTTTGGCATGGCATGTGTGAATGCTGCGCCAAGGGACTGCCCTAACGCCACCCGCCATCTGTTTGGGTGGGCAGCAGGATGGTGGCATCAGGGTGGAGTCAGGGCACCTTCCATGTGGTCACCACACCCCGACTCCACTCCCAGGCCAGCCCTTTTGTCCAGTCTGTACATCCCCTTAGTTAAAAATAGAAGGCCATTAAAAACACAGCAAAGCAAGGCTCCCAATAAGAAGCCTCCCTGGGTGCAGTTATCTATGAAAAGCTGCTTGAAAATGAAAGTTTTTGCGTGCCAGCTAAAAGAGACCAAGGATAGGGCCAAACTAGCTTCCTGTGGAAGGGAGCCACTGAGAAGGTTCTTTCTGATGTCCTCACCAAACAAGCCTGTGATGGCGGTGGGACCAAGAGAAAAACTTCCTTTGAAGATCTTAGGGTTTTGGCAGGTTCATATGGGGAGATACAGTCTTTCAAATAGTCTAGACCTATGCCTTATAAGGGTAGAAGATACTAGATTATGGAAGGCTGAGCTAAAGAATCCTAGATAGCTTGACTGAAAAATTCCTCTGCCTGAGATTGTAAAGTACCATCTCCCATGTACAGTAGTAGACTATACTGAAATAAGTATGACTATTATCAGGCGGCATTAACTTAGTTACCTTTGGATTACCCTGACAGACACTTTTCAAACCATTCTTTCAGGGCAGAGGGCACAGAACTCTGGATGTGAATATTTAGTAGTGAGTCAGAGCGGTGTCAGATGTTAAGGCATGAATTCCTCCTCTCCTACTTCCACTCTTAAGTCTAAAGGGGAACATACCTCTGAAGCTTATACATCTTCCCTGTACAATTTTCCCATTGGACAACACAGAGGAACTTCAAAAAGCAGAAGTATGAGACGCCAGTTTGTTCTCATAGCATCCAGAGCCACTCTTAGGTCATGACGACACAGATCTGAACTGGTTTCTCAAGTCTCTTTTAGTGATATGGCTCTCAGCCAAAGAAGCCTAGGAAGGGAAGTGTATTTCTGTGAAAATATGTGGGAACTTTCACAGCGAAGGATCAACATTGCTACAATTCCTAGGATTTGATGTGGCATATGATGATGGTGAACCAGTTTCAAACAAGATTAAATTTCAGATACAGCCAGTGTGGTGTAGTCAGTTGAGTGCCAGACTATAATTCTGGAGATCATGGTTCAATTCCCTGCTTAGCCATGGAAATGTAGTGGATGACCTTGGGTGAATCACATACCCTTGGCCCCAGAAAACTCCATGATAGGTTCACCTTAGGGTCATCATAAGTCAGAAGGCACACAACAACAACAACAACAACAAAAACAAAAACAACAGATGATGGATGGCACTCTGTATTACACTTACAGATTCATAAGCTAGAATTATAGATCTGTAACTGCTCAGCATTCCAACTGTGTATAAATGATCATGACTGGATGGCCCTTGTGGTCTCTTCCAACTCTATGATTCTATGACAATATTGCTATGATTGTAAATGTCCCCCTTCCAAATCCCATCTTAAACCCCAGTGAGCCATTCTGAGCAGCAGAGGCCTATTTTGCTGGCAATTGGGGAACAGCAGGATATTTCCAGCCCCCTCCTTCCAGTGAGCAAGGCTGTGACAATCAGAAGCAGGTCATTGTCGCAACTCCTCATTGCACTGGAAATCACTGGTGGGAGGGGACTGGAAACATCCTGCTGCACGCCAGTTACCAGCAAAACAGACCTTCATTGC